CGGAGAAAAAACACCAGGATATAGTAAAGTCTCCATAAATGCACAAACCTCTTGGACGGGAGTCGTCCGCGGGTGGATGGAATATTTTTCGATCACTCTATTAGTCTATTCTTCTGTACAGAAAAGTCTCCATAAATGCACAAATGCAGTAATGTCTCGTTGGACGCACCTGACCTTGTGCCACTAAAATGGATATCGTATATTCTTTGACATCTCCCGAGGCCTGTCAGATAAGGACCGCGAATAAAAAAAAGGACGGAGAAAAAACACCAGGATATAGTAAAGTCTCCATAAATGCACAAACCTCTAAACCTTGAACGGAAATCGTCCGCGGGTCCATGGAATATTTTTCGACCCCTCTATTAGCCTATTTTTCGGTACAGAAAGGTTTCCATAAATGCACAAGTACAGTAATGTCTCGTTGGACGCACCTGACCTTGTGCCACTAAAATGAACATCGTATATTCTTTGACATCTCCCGATGCCTGTCAAACGCAAATAAGAACCGCGAATAAAGAGGACGGAGCGAAAAGACCAGGGTACAGTAAAGTCTCCATAAATGCACAAACCTCTTGGACGGGAGTCGTCCGCGGGTGGATGGAACATTTTTGTCCCGAGCGATAGCCTTTCGAAATTATGTACGTCTGGCCGGCGCTTTTCGCCACATAGCCTAGTATTTTTGCGAGCGGTTCCCTGACGTTTTAATTACTCAAACGTCATTTAAAACTGCTATCCAAAGTTTCCTTCCGCTTTTCACGTATTTCAACCGGCGTTACTCGTCTTCTATTGCTGCCCCAGCTTTATGTGCTCCAATTTAACTCGCGATCGGTCGCTGGAAAGAGTCTAGCAGTTTGAATTTCATTTCTGTTCGTTAAACTTCTATTTGCACCGTCGATTATAAATGTGGAGAGACGTAAGTCAGAGATTTGAAATATCACCGTTACCGACCAACCCCAATTATTTTTTAGACCTTTTCATTCGAAACCAGAGAATTACATTTTTTTACAAATTATTCAAACTGCACACCGTAATTAATTCTTTCATATTCCCTCGCGACCGTTGACCTTCGTTCAAATTACCTTTACCATTATTCGCGTTACCTTTAAACTTTAAATTGCCACTTTTCGTTATTACGTTAATAACCAACATTTTCGCACGGATATTTACCTTGATTTACCTTTAAAGAGTGGTAATATTTCGCAACCGATGGCAGAATTGTGCTCGAATAAAGTCGATCAAATTATTACTGCAAACAGGGGTCGAGAACAGATACATTTGCTAACACGCCTCGGTATAATTCTTCTGCTGGCATAGAAATTTGAATACTCGGAAAACAAATATTTTCACGTCTCTTCGATTTCACGTTCGGTCGATTGTACGCGAGTCGTCGTTCCGAATAAAAATTCCAGGATAAATTTTGGACGACGCGGTTCATGCATTCATTCAGATACCAGCGCGAGGAGTGCTTCTGGACGCTTCGCTCGCTTGGAATTATGCGTTCCTATAAATTTTCTGGTTCAACGACGCGACACCGAACGGAAGACACGCGCAAATTGTATTTATCGACAGGCGTGTCCTCGGGGAGGGGGCGTAGTTACGTACACATGTACGATTGTAGCTACGGGCACGAGTTTCGAGGAAGCAGGTGGAGATCTTCGAGTTATTACCGGTGAAAAGTTCCCAATAGAAAATTCAAGCATCGAATATTAACGTAACACCGCGGATAGGATTATTCGCGACGTCTCCCCGAGTAACGTGCAAACAAGCACCCTTACAAATGTGCGCAACACGACGTCGGATGCAAGGGACGTGTAAGATATTCCAAGGAGTACAAACAGTCTGCAACTACGTTCGCACGCTTCCGTGGATTCGTCCACAGCGAACAATGCGCGAATAGAGGCATTCAAATATTCCCAGGCCACCATCAAAACGAGCTAATTATTACTGTTTCTATGGACAAACAACAGGACTAGGAGCAATAATTATATTCCAACGTCTCCGATGTAGACGAATTTGTATCGCAAACAACGCATTTATCGCGGCAAATATCGTTTAATTAAATGGCGATAACAATACGTACGCTAGAATTTCCATATCGATTCGCTAGTAAAACTAATAATTTCACTAGAGAGAATTAACTAGAGATCATTCCGAACGGTCGCGATACACGAATATTATTGAAATCATAAATTATTCTAGACGCGCTGGCGTCTGGCATTTGCGAGCTATTTCACGCGATGCAATCGACGGTCTTGAATCACGAGGCATCGGTAGCGAAACGTGATTCGGTCGTTGCTCGGAACGGCCGTTCCGAACGAGACAAAGATCCCTCCGATCGAAACGAAGTTTCTTTGACCGTCCGGGTTCCATTAACGGAAGAGGCAAAAGATTCGTAGCGCGCGAAGACAGTTATTCGCCGAACGACGAGGCGCGCGCGATGAAATAATTCTCGTTCTTTGATCGGTGTAATTCGAATCGGTCGTTTCTCGAGACCTCACTCGGTTCTAACGCACTTCAGCCTCTACCCCGACGAGGCCAGGCGAGTCTCAACCTTATGTTCAGATACCCTAAACGTAACTAGTTTAGTAAGGCGTCAGTTTAGCTTTAAATGGTACAGCCAGGGTTAGGAGTACTCGCACAGCGAGCCATTTAAAACAAATCGTTCCTGCACGAATAATTATTACTCCGAGTTAGTCGAGCACGAATCACGCGAGCTACAACAGATCTTGAGCACCGATTCGACTCTCTATAATACATATAATAAACAAATTCCAGATCCCTCCGTAACTTAAAGTTTCCGACCTGTACATTTCCGACCTGTACATTTCCGACCTGTACATTTCCGACCTGTACATTTCCGACCTGTACATTTCCGACTGTGTAATTGAAATGTATGTGAAGCTCCGCGAGTGTCCGATAAAAATCTAAATCGTACGCGTCTAAGACGTCCAGATCCTAATTTTTCGACATCTTCGTCCATCTCTAAAAGTTAATCGAACGAACGAAACCTCGCCGCGGTAAATTTCCGGGCGTGTTCGACGAATTTCTGAGATACCCGAGCGATATGTTCGTGATACGGCGAAACGGGCAGCACTCTCGGGTCGCAATTTGCTTTCATTAGAAGCGCGGCTCCTCCGCCGGGAATAGCATCGACGATCGCGATTTTATAGAAAATCAGGTTTCCTAGGATAGCAGGCATTCGGTGGGTCAGGGTGAAAGGAAGGCCTCGCTTAAAGCCCTCTTTTTACGGCCAGCAGGAAATGCTCCGGTAAAATTGCTATTGGTTACGCGTTGGTTTACGAGGCCGCCATTGGGTGTTTGCCACTAAACAGCCAACGGGAGAGTTCTCTTCGGGCCTCCTGATTCTCTTCTCACGGTAAAATCGCGCCGTTGCGTTGCGTTCGAGCTCTTGAAGCTTTACCGAGGCTGATTTTCTCGAAAAATCGATGGAATTCCGGTATTTTTTGCGAACTCGCATAGACGTTATTCGACATGAATCTCTGCTTTTCTCGAAAGAAATGTCAACTCGCACGCAGTAAGAGTCGAGTCGAGTTCCTCGAGTAAGCGTTTCCGGTCGGTTCGGGGAGTAGTCTTTTTACAATTTCTCTTCCCAGCATCGAATGTCGACGTGGCTGTTATTTCGCTGGTCTTCTATCGTCCAATAAAGTTTTTTATCGATAGTTCGTTCGGAAGAAAGTCCAAGTACGTATACGATCGCTTTAAGAAGGAAATGCAGATCCCCGGACGTCCATGGATCGAAATTTCCAGTGGCAAACGACATCGTCAACTTTTATATTCCGCGATTTCGGTATCGAGCTACAATCTCGCGTTCGGTTTCGCAAACTATGGATACACGCACGGACACGCGCGTATCGCACACAGGGACGCATGCGAAATTAGTTTCCGCGTCGTAGCTCTGTACATTACTGTCGTCGCCGCGGCGCGTGGATGTTTGCTTCGATATTCCGAAATTACAATTTCGTAATTAGCAACAAGGTCGATGGAACGTAACGAAGCAAAACCGGTGCCGTTTCGCCGAGTACCGTTACTTTGTAATTAAATTTTCCCTTTCGACGCGCCGTTAAAATCGCACTTGTGCCATCGATTAACGAATCGAGACCGGTCGCGGTCCAAATATCGTAATTTTCAACGAGCCGGAAACGCGGAAAGAACGAAATAAGTATGCCAAACAACGCTGGAAACCTTCTTGACCGAACTCGGTCCGGGTAGAGGAACGTACTTTGAATATTTTTTAAAGGACTCCGTTGGCTTTGATAACTCTTCGTGGTTCTGGCATTGAACATCGAAATCTCGAATTAATTGACGGTGTAAAGCGTTCTGGAGCTGACCGTTATGAGCTCGCTCGTAGAGGTTCGCAAAGGTGGGATCGGCGAGTAATTCTAGCTGTTTTGAATCTCTTTTGAGGGATTTGAAAGCTTGGATTGAAAAAAAAAATAAATAAATAAATGTAAGAGATAAAAATGTTGGGTTCGAGAAGACTCTGTTAGATTGGGTTCGCGTTGTAATTGGGAAAGCTACGATTCGAAGTTCGCGAATCGGAAAAGTTATTCGCGAGCCGGGTAGGAAAAAAGAGGGAAACGAAGGAATGCAGAAAGTGGTAGCTGGGACAAATCCCGCGGATAAGCATAGTAATGGCCAACAAGTTTTATGGTTCATATCACTTACGGTGATTAAATGGAGAAACACGAGCGTCGTTTTCAAAATCCCCCGCTTTGCGCTCGCATGAAATATATTTTGCCGGGGGAACCCGCAACTTTTAGCGGAATCTATCCGGAATTTAGTCGTGATTCAAACTGCGAGGCCGGTTAGCGCGCGAATTGGATAGAAATTCGACGAATCGATACCACCCGGTATAACGCGTATAATTGTACCGACCGTACGTTTCATTAATTACATCTGCTTTACAATTGATAAAACTAGCAAGGATGGACAGAAGTTTAAGATGGAAAATTGTCTAGAAAATCAAAGGATGGACACAGTTTTAAAAATACGAGTGAAATCTTGAAATTGTTAAATTCCGATTAAAAACACTTCAAATATTTTGTTTGTATTTTTGTTCACCAAGGGCCAATTAAAGACGAAAATGTCGAACAAAAGAAATTGAATTTCGACCATTATTAGGAATGTCTCGAGCAACGAATGAAAAAGAAGTGCGTTTCTTTTAGAACTCGATATTGTTTGAATCGGTGATAAACGAAATCTCAAAGTTTATCAAGAAACCTCTTTTGAGGGGTACTATAAAGTACCAAAAACCTCTTGGACGAGAGTCGTCCGCGGGTGGATGGAATATTTTTCGATTACTCTATTAGCCTATTCTTCGGTACAGAAAGGTTTCCATAAATGCACAAATACAGTAATGTCTCGTTAGACGCACCTGACCTTGCGCCACTAAAATGGATATTGTATATTCTTTGACATCTCCCGATGCCTGTCAGATAAGGACCGCGAATAAAAAAAAAGGACGGAGAAAAAACACCAGGATATAGTAAAGTCTCCATAAATGCACAAACCTCTAAACCTTGAACGAGAGTCGTCCGTGGGTGGATGGTATATTTTTCGATCACTCTATTAGCCTATTCTTCGGTACAGAAAGGTTTCCATAAATGCACAAATACAGTAATGTCTCGTTAGACGCACCTGACCTTGCGCCACTAAAATGGATATCGTATATTCTTTGACATCTCCCGATGCCTGTCAGATAAGGACCGCGAATAAAAAAAAAGGACGGAGGAAAAACACCAGGATATAGTAAAGTCTCCATAAATGCACAAAGCTCAAAACCTTGATCTAGAATCGCGGGTCGACGGAATATTTTTCGATCGCTCTATTAGCCTATTCTTCGGTTCAGAAAAGTCTCCATAAATGCACAAATGCAGTAATGTCTCGTTAGACGCACCTGACCTTGTGCCACTAAAATGGAAATCGTATATTTTTGTACATTTCCCGATACTTGTCAAACGCAAATAAGGACCGCGAATAAAGAGGACGGAGCGAAAAGACCGGGATATAGTAAAGTCTCCATAAATGCACAAACCTCTAAACCTTGAACGAAAATCGCGGGTCGACGGAATATTTTTTGATCGCTCTATTAGCCTATACTTCGGTTCAGAAAAGTCTCCATAAATGCACAAATACAGTAAAATGGATATCGTATATTTTTAGACATCTCCCGATGCCTGTCAAACGCAAACAAGGACCGCGAATAAAGAGGACGGAGCGAAAAGACCAGGGTATAGTAAAGTCTCCATAAATGCACAAACCTCTAAACCTTGAACGGAAATCGTCCGCGTGTCCATGGAATATTTTTCGATCACTCTATTAGCCTATACTTCGGTACAGAAAAGTCTCCATAAATACACAAATACAGTAATGTATGCCGCAACTTTTAGCGGAATCTATCCGGAATTTAGTCGAGATTTAATCCGCGAAGCCGGTTAGCGTGCGAATTGGATTGAAATTCGACGAATCGATACCATCCGGTATAACGCGTATAATTTTACCAACCGTACGTTTAATTAATTACGTTAGCCGGGCTTGAAACTAGCAAGGATGGATAGAAGTTTAAGATGGAAAATTGTCAACAAAATACGAGTAAAATCTCAAAATTGTAAAATTCCGATTAAAAATACTTCAAATATTTCGTTTGTATTTGTTGTTCACCAAGGGCCAATTAAAGACGAAAATGTCGAACAAAAGAAATTGAATATCGACCATTATTAAGAAAGTCACGAGCAACGAATAAAAAAGAAGTGCGTTTCTTATAAAACTCGATATTGTTTGAATCGCTGATAAACAAAATCTCAAACTTGATCAAGAAACCTCTCTCGAGGGTTACTAAAAAATACGAAAAAATTGAGAAAATCGAAAACAACAATTCTTTAAACCGTACAATTCGCCGCGAGGCGTCCCGTATGTACATACGTACGTTGATCTTGGATCGTTTAGGATGATTTCCACGTTTTGTGAGGAAAGCGTCGATCGAGTCGGTAGGTGTACGATTTTAACTGACAGTCGCTTCGTACGTAAACTTGGCGGATGTAGTGTACCAGACGGTGTATTTGTCATAAAATTTCACGACGCTCCGCGAACGGTTGTCAGAACTCCTTCCACGGTTGTATCAAAGCGTTCTTACTTTGGCGAGCAGTGCATTCGAGTTTCCGCGAATCGAGAATATAGACAAAAGGATTTTCGCGATGTTTTCTATGCATCGACGTCCATGAAACGACGCCATAGAGGCTCGATTGTCTATTCTCAGGGTGAAGCTTTCGCGACTAACGTTCGAAGCGACCCCCTCGAGGATTATTATTGCGGTTTCGTGCATCGGAGATCGGATGCGGTTTATCCGGGGCTCGATGGAAAGGAAACTTATTCTAATCACGTGCTAGACAGGAAAAAAAAGTGCGCTGTGCTGGTAGCATGAAATATGCAGTTTACGGCCGGCGAAGACGCGGCTCGAGCGGATGCGGGACGTTTCTTCCTCTTAATGAGAACGAATAAATCGTCGGGAGTCGCCGATGACGCGAAACACCGAGCAAAGTCGGTTCGTTGATATGAAAGAAAAAGAAAACGAATCGGAGGTTGTTTAATTAGCGAGGTCCCCGGAGCTTGGAGATTGTTTCGCCGTTTTTCCCGATTATGCAACACCGAAAGCGCAATCTCGAGGAATGAATTCAACTCGAATTAGTTACCAATGAACGAAGAAAAACATTTCGAGCGGGAGAATGGACAATTTTAAATTACGTTTAAATTACAATTTTAAGTTACCATACGTTCGACACGAGACAGCTCGCAGCTGCTTGCCGCGAGTATGTTCGGTTCGATCCATTTCGTATCGCGTTTAAAAGCTCAACCAGACAACGCGAGACACGGAACAACGTTGGTATTTATTAAGGAGCTCTTGGAAAAGACGCTTTCGAAAGATGCTTGGAGAAAGAGAGACGAGCACCAGCACCATCGCCAGATCCTTCTGAATCATTTTGCTCCGGGAGCACCTAGCCTCATTCATACGTAATACGTTTCCCAGTATATTTTCCTTCTGTTCTTGTGCATGACGTACCGAATGGGAGTTCCCACCTATTCCTCTGCTTTTGATGCCCGTTGCAACTCCCTCTGGATGAACTTTTTGAGATACAACACACTGCAAGGGACGCTGCCTCTGCTATCTTCCGGGTTGCTCGCTATATTTCTTTAATGGTTCATTATTTTCTACCATTCGGATAGCTTTCCTTCCCGACCGGGATCCTTCGATTCCTTCCATCTATTATATCTCATTTTTCTCCGCGTCAAACTTTCTGCCGCGACATCACCTTCGAATATAATACGTTCGCTTTTATAAAAGCTTCTATTTATTAAGATTTATTAGTTAAGTTTCTATTTATTCATTTCTCCCGATTGGAAATGTACTTGAGTGTGTTTTATAGAGATACAGAGCAAGATTCTACGCATAGTATCGCACC